AACGCCAGCAGCCGCGGCAGAACAAGCCGTTCATCAGGGGTCTCCTCCGAGGCGCCGCAGCATCTTCCTGCGCAGAGACCCCTCCTCTCCCCCGCACGGAGATCTCCGCGCCAGGCTCCGTGCTCCTGCGCCCGCAGCTCCGGCCGTCCCGGTCTCAGGCCTCCCCTCGGCACGTGACGCTCGCCCAGAGTCGGCAGCAGCGCTGGGCAGGATTCCCCCGGGGCCGCAGTCACTGCGGGAGGCGTTAGCGTATGTTTCTCAGTGTTTATTTAGTATTTGCACATATATTGTAATAAAAGCTTAGCGTGGAGATTTCCACTGCATATGAAGAAACCCCATCCATTGCACAGTAGATATAATCTTCCACTATTTATTGCCGCTCGCCCAGAGTCGGCAGCAGCGCTGGGCAGGATTCCCCCGGGGCCGCAGTCACTGCGGGAGGCGTTAGCGTATGTTTCTCAGTGTTTATTTAGTATTTGCACATATATTGTAATAAAAGCTTAGCGTGGAGATTTCCACTGCATATGAAGAAACCCCATCCATTGCACAGTAGATATAATCTTCCACTATTTATTGCTGAGAATTGCCTTTATACAGTATTTTTAATTTTTCCTTCTTTTAATATCATGCCTTCAATTTCTTCAGCACCCCCTCCCCAAGCTCAAGCAGCTCCCACATTATTTCCAGTGCAAAATCATAGGAAACCCAGAGGCTCAAACACAAAGGAATGCCCTCTGCTTCTGGAATTCTTTTTCCTTGGAGGAATCAAGAGCTAGAGCGGGTTGTCATTTCCAGTTCTCTAAAGAGACCTAGAAGTTGTTTTGTGCAAGCATAGGATACTCTGATTTGTAAGGCAGAGGCGGTGCAAATACCTTCTTTGTAATTTTGTAAAAAGCCAATCAATTCTCTGGAGCACGTCGTGAAATCCACATCCCAGAGAGGATCCCCTGGCCAGCTGCGCACAGTTCTTGCTTTAAGGGATCCACCGATACTTCACCTTGACTAGAAGGCAAGTGGGAACCTCCTGGGTTGATGCATTCACTACTGATGAAAACCACTCTGGGGCTCAGACTAGTCACCAGGAGGCAACTGTTACAAGCACAACCAAAGACAGACATCCCAATAACAGCAGGGAAATCACTGTTGGCCAAACGACAGCCGAACAGTGGGATCATTTGTCACCGTGGGAGGCCAAGGGGTTGGTGTAAGCGCGTGTCCCGCGGCAGCGCTGTGCACGCAGCAGCGGCGCAGGCAACACAGGCAGCTCTTGCTCTGCAGTCCTCCTTTTGGTACCTTCTACCAGCTGGTCCCTTCATCTCAGCATGGCTTTTTAGTAAACACGAGTCCCGGTTAGTGCTTAAGTCTATTCTGTGCTCCCGACAGCTCACTGGAACAATCCATTACCAAGGAAAAAAGCCATTTCCGCCAAGCAAGCGCTCAGGGTGCGGTGATTATGGCACACTGATGCGGCACCTTCTCCTCAATTCAGTAGAAAGCCACCTGTGAAGGCAAAACACAGCGACACCGACCAGCTGGGAGGGAGCTGCGGGACCAACCCGGCCCCCCTCGCAGAGCAGAAGCCCAGTCCCAAGCACAGCAAGGCGCCCCGGGCCCAGCTCGCTGCCCTGGCCCCTCGTCACGCGCTCAGCGCTGCTCTGGGGACACCGTGGGAGCTCCAAGCCAGAGAAACGTCCTCTGGCTCCCGGGAAACCTTATCCAAACCCGACTCACTGCTTGGAGAGAGCTTCGCCCAACCTCAAACCAAGCCTGCGTACAGTAGAAGAGAAAGACTCCTACCTCACTGCAACGGCCACAGCACCGCTCTGAAACCTGCTCCTCAACTCCCACTGAGCCAGCCCAGCCTCTGAACAGCCAGCAAAGCCAAGAGCGCTTTTCTCTTCAGCACAGACTGATGGTTCTGAGAAAACCCAAACGATTTCGAGACGTCCTGAGCGTCGCCCCTCGGCGCGGGCGGCGCTCGGCGAGACGGGGGCTGCAGCCGGCAGCTGCTCTCACACCCCGTCCTGGCCTCGGATGCGGAGGGCACGGAGCGTTATCCCCCACCCAGCCAGCGCGTCCCCCTGCTGCAGGGGCAGCACAGAACATGCTGCAGGGCAGGGCGGCTGCTCCACTCGCTGTCATCTGTCCCCTCTCCTTGCGGCTGTTCCCTTGGGCCCACCGAGGCACAGGGCAGGGATGGGAAGGATGCAGCAGAGCCTTGCAAGGAGGCCCTGCTACAGCTCACCCCGAGCAAGTCGCACTTGCTATTTCAGATCTTTCCCTCCCCCTTTAGAGGCATCTCAAGGTCTCCAGTCAAGGCCAGTAGGCCTCTGCCTCCCACAAAGACAAGGACATCCCACACTGCCACATTCCCCCTTGAAACAGGAGGAAACGGAAATGACTCGGCTAAGGTCAGGTGGAAGTTAGGTGAGGAACAGGACCTGTCCTAGACCCTCTTCCTAGACCTAGGCCTCCCGTCGCCGCCCCCTTCCCGCTGCTCAGGAAAGCCCTGCACATGAAGGCCCTGCTGACAAGGCCCTCCGGAATGTCACAGCCTCTGCTAGCACAGGGGGCTCCTCACAGGTGCCACCCCACCCAGGCAGAGCAGCCCAGGAGATTTCTCTGGAGACCTTGGGTTTCTAGGGATCGCAGACAAGAACGGGAAACAAGTCTTGGCAATTTCTGACGAGCCAAACGTTGCAAGGACCAAGCCTGAGCAGACCCATTGGCTTTAGTGAAGCAGCGCAGTTGCAAAGGAGGAACTTGGAAAGGATCGAGTGAATTGAAAGCTCACGGCGGAAGCAGAGATCCAAGGCTCACCTTGATCAGCACGGCTGCCAAGATCCCCAGCAGCGCCAGAGCCACCAGGCCCACTCGGCCCCACTTGAAGCGCTTCAGCAGGAATCCACCTTCTTCTGGCTGCCCGGCGGGTACCGCACCTTGTTGGTCCCCTCCATCTTCAAGTCCCTGATCAAGCAGGAGCGGTGGTGGGAGAAGGTCTCGAAGCTGTGCTGGCCGTGGTAGGCGCCCATCCCGCTGTGACCTGAGACACAACCCAACAGGTCACGGCGCAGCCTCGGCTCGCTGAGCCCTGGCTGCTTAATGCAGGGCAAATGACAGCCACGAGTAAATTTCAGTGGCTCTCCATCTGCACTGCACGTCAGCTAGCCTGCATCTTCCTTACTGCAGTTGAAAAGCACAACCTCTCCTTTGTATTCCTGCAGAGGAGACAAGCCCTTCCCTTCTGCAGAACTGGTCCTAGCCTCAGGGACTTGTCTTCCCCACACCCTTTTGACAAAGCAACCTCCAGGATTTCACAGTGTGCACCTGTGGGCCTTGTTTCCTGGGCCTCTGAGCACTTGCTGGCACTCCTCGAGACTGCAGCTCAAGTCACAAATGTTTAAGGGGCCCCCAGTAACTCACCGACACCCCCAAAAGGCAAGGATGACAGGAGGAAGTGCATCAAGACATCGTTGGCTGTAAACCCTCCGCTGCTTGTTTCTGAGATGACTCTGTTGACTAACTAATAGGAAAAGAAAAACAAGAAAACGTCTAAAGAGGCTGCACCATATAACTAAGTCAGACTAGGCTGACTAGTTCCTAGGTGGCTAAGAACCACAGGAGCCACCACTGCGGTTTCCTGTGGCTGTCAGCTCTGATGAGCCTTGGCAAAGAAAAAAAGTCAGAGGGATGTGAAAGTTGGGAAGCCAGGGGCTCTCCTCCTCAGTTATGTTTTACACAGACACATGCAACATCGGATCACCCAGAGTCAGCCCAGCTGGGGAGCAGAGCCCAGACCCACCTTCTTGTTGTTGGAGAAGACGTACAGGGCCAGAGGCTTCTCCCGACTGTTGATGAACTCAATGGCCTCGTCCACGCTCTTCACCGGCACTATAGGAAGGATGGGCCCAAAGATCTCCTCCTGCATCACCTTGGACTCCGGGGACACATCAGTGAGGATGGTTGGTGCTGGGAAAACAGGACAGCAAGACACTGAGCATGAGGAGAAGAGGTGGCCCAGTGCAGGACCCAGGCCTGAGCAGGGCTAGGGCTGAACATGGAGCAAGACAGACGTACGCAGCCCCCAAAACCTCCCTCTTCCCCTATCACCTCCCCAGCCCCAGTTTGGGGCACAGGTACCTATGAAGCAGGAGGCCTCATCAGTCTCTCCCCCATGCGCGATCTTCTGTCCCTCCAGCAGGGCCAACACCCGCTGGAAGTGGCGCTTGTTGATGATCCGCTCGTAATCCGGAGACGACTTCACATCATGCCCGTAGAATTCCTGACAAAGGACACAGCGATGGGAACTCACAGCCAGAACAAACTCTTGGCACTGCTCTAAGGGATACTGGGGCCCACGCAGCTCCCCGCTCACCTGCAGAGTCGCCTTGATGTTCTCCACCACCTGGGCCTGGATGGACGGCTCGCACAGGACGTAGTCGGGGGCGATGCAGGTTTGCCCGCAGTTCATGTACTTGCCCCACGTGATCCGCCTGGGCAGCAGGGCAGAAGGAGCCTCCGTGCCCGTCCCGGCCCCACCAGAGCCTCGCTCAGCGC